ATTGGCTCACATTGGCTGTCAACAACACGTGCTTCTATTTTGATCTACCAGATGGCGCAACACGCTTCACGCTCATTACGTACGCGGGTACAACGGCGTACTAAAAGCCGATTAGTGGCAAACGACGCCACGTAACGCAAGGCGCTTGCGTGATGCGTACGTAGCACCATTCCGCGGTACTAAAACTCTCTAATGTTTCCACTCCACGTGCGGTCGAGCGTTGCGGTTGGTGGAGAGGGTGCAGCGACAGAGAAGTGTGTTGAGAGTGGGCGGAGGAGCCGACAGGTGCGTGTGCTGGGGCGAGCGTGGTGCGTGTGACGGTGAGAATGACGTCAGGGTACATCTGCGAGGAAAGCATGTGAGGGGAGCGTGAAGTGAATGCACAGCTGCGGCATGACCCGCTTAGCAGAGCTCCAACAGCTGCGGCGTGGAGAACTCGTTGCGGCATGTTCTTACAGACGCACGTACGTACAGCATGGCACGCGGGGGTCAGAAAGCTGCTGCGCATTTAAAAATGAATACAAAAGGCACTAAGGAACGGTGACGTTGTGTTTCTGACTAGCCTTCGTTCTTTTTGAGTTTACACGGTAAGAGATCCATATATCATGAAACCCAGAGCACTGCGAATCAGAGGAGATCGATAATAGGACCGTAGTATAGCAGCGCTACTACGGTCGGAAGTTTCTCTGTTGAATACAAAAGTGGTGGTTAGAATTCCCCCAGAAGAACTACAAAATATTTGTCGAACCTTATGTAAACTTTCCATGATGCTCCTGGCCATTTGATTTCGACAGAGGTGGCAGCGTGGCAACGCGTTTCTTTTTACAACTAAACCCGTTACCACAACATGGGCCGTTTTTGGCTCCGTAGTTGTCGGCCGCCATTCCCACCAGCGTCCTATATATCACTCGAAATTAAAAAATCACAGCACATGCACGGAGTGAATGATGATGATTGGGGTGAAGCGTTCATCCGTCCGTGCATCCGAACGTGCGAGTTGGCTGATGGATTCATGGATGAACGGACGAACGGAAGCATAGATGGACAGACGCATGAACGGACGTTCTTCCAGCACCCGCGTCGACGCCTTTTTCAACCGAGTCAACGCCTTGAGCACCACTGCTTCTTCGCATCCAATCACGGTTTCCTTCAAGGAGATGGTGAATATTTTCCCGCTGTCTCACTATAACGTTACATACACCGACGCACCCAACTGTCGATTCAAACGCATATACAGAGGTAGCGTTTCATTGTTCCTTTTGTCGCCTAGATGATGTTGGCTTATAACGAAAATGTAAATAGAATGCTTGGTAAAAGAGAGAAACCAGATAAGAACGAAAGAATAACAACGTGCATTTAAAACACATTGACTCATCTTTACATATTACTGTTAGCACGACTACTTCCACTTTCAATCACTCGAGCGCACTGTGTCATGTCGCAATTGTGTACGTAACTTTGCGTTTAAATACAGATCATTGTCCTTACTGCCTAATACTTTATGAACTCTATATTGCGAAGCAGACAGCCTACGAATGAGCACATGTGAGTAACTGGGTTTGTTCTACACCAGTGCTCCAATGTTTATGTACAGATATTACGCGTACTGGTAAGGGGAACACTAGCGTAGCCGCCATACTTGGATTTAAATCTTGCGAAATCACAGTGGCTCAAGTTTACGTAAGACCACCGGTGATCGAGAGTTTCACTCCTTTTGACACACTTGGGCCATGCATAAACATATTTTTTATATCGACGTGCTGTTCGAGGGTCGGCAAATGAACGGTGCCCCTTGTAGTGTTTCATCTAATAGTGGACCGCTCGTGCTGTAAATTTGGGTGCTTTGTTATCGCAATATGGGCCACTGAATTATTCACTACAATATCAATGAGAACCAACACACAGTGATACCAGTATTCTACATATATACACCACAAAGTAGAAGGGGGGAGGGGGGGACGCCACTGTTGAAGCTCAGTTGGTAGAGCAGCAGACGACATGTCATTTTTTGTCCGCTTCTCTTTCTTCACATTTACATTGATGTGACAACTAACAACATACCCCCTACATTCATTGACATGTCGTATTTCTCAATAATACTGCGTCTATCAACAACAAAAACAAGCTTGTAACTTTGCACTTCTAAACCACGATATCAAAAACACGTTTATCAATTATTTATCAATTAACTCATGATTGACACGATGCAGAGACACTTTACAGGATGACGACTGAATCTTAACACTGCTGTAAGCTTTCAAGATCAATGTACATGTCTACGCTCAGAAAACATCGCTTGTTTTGTTTTAGTGGTCTGGTTCCGGCCAATGCGCTGAAACAACACGTCAAAAGTACACATTAAAAACTTCCGCATATACGTTTTTATTACTGTTGTTGGCAGGACATTACGTATGTACAAGTATGCTGCTTGCCGTTTGGTCTGGCTATAAATGACCTGCTTTACATGCATTTATGCTTGTGAATACAAAATACATTATGCTTGTGCACCGTGTAGAACGCACAACGCCGCCGATATTTCCTCGCGAGCATACGTCAGTCCCAGACCCGACATTGATGTCGACCAGCGCTTCAAGTAACCTCGGTTGTCATGACACATGGTGCGCAGCAGTGTAAACGCTACTCATTGTTATGAGTCGCGTGTCCCCTTCTGGCATTTGTGTACATGAAATGTCACTACCATTAATTGCATACCAGGCGTCTTCCACCAGCTCGTTCACTTCCTCCGTTGCCGCTGCAACAAAGTGATCCTGCTACCCTTCCTCTGGTTCTCTTTTATTTCACTGTACGCCTTACCGCTAATTAGATCACTTGACGATCGATGAGTGTGCGCGCCGTAACAAACTCAGTATCAATATTTTTCTTGGCACAAGTTCACCAAAAATTGTTCTCTCGAACGTCACAATCATGTGGCATTATCGCATTCATACAATATTTAAAAGTGCTCCATCATGACACACAGGTTTTTAAAGAATAGGAAATATAAACAACGCATCTTCATTAGAAACATTTTGTATTGCCTCGCAGAATCATAATTTTGCACCAGGGGTCAAAACGTACAATTTTACAAAGTACGCAGCTGGGCAGGTACGCGTGCAACCTTGCGGGCTTATTATCAAGTATTTCGGAAAATTTAAAATAAAAAATATGTCTTAGAAGGCACTTCAAATCAGAATTTGCTGTAGGCATTCTAGGATACTTTGGAACGGTCAGTCATACACCTTCAAATAATTCTTTCCTGAAAGTGTGGTTGAAGCCTGTGCGCATTGGGCCCCGACTACAGCATAGCGTTTTCGTTGTGAAGGCGAAGCTATACAGCGTTCTCCAGATTTTCTGCATGAACGCATATACAGCTGTCAGTACCTTAACTTGAACGCTCCGGCACGTGTCCTCAGCTCGCTTGGACTCAGGTCAACGCCACCAAGCGTTGAAAAATATATGTTTGCTGCAGTTAAGGATAGATGTAGCGCGCGTATGTTTTATTGAGCTTCATTGATTTACGAAGTCCCGGATCACTCGCCGGCGGCCCGCGGACGCCTCGGCCTATAGGCGGCTACGTCACATGCACGTGATCTAAAAGTCCCGAGCCAGCCCGAGTGGCCTCGGGCCATCTGCGCGCTTCATGCTGGCTGCATCCACTGTGGCATCTCCTATGCCAGGCTATGCTGTCTGCTCCCTCCATAGCTGTGACACAGGCCACAACGCCGACCCAATTCCAACCTACACAGCAGTTAGGTAGTGAAATATACCTATTTCTGTTGTCATGAAATTTACTGTAAGTGAACTACTCGAGCACGTGCGCACCATAGACCGGTGCAGTAGTTCTACCGCTGTTTCTGTTAGCGAGTATAACGCATGTTTGTCCGACTTTCGAGAATACGCACATCCTCGACGTGGCTCAGAACACCGATGACAAGAACCGTGTGCGCAAACAATGCGAAATCCAGAAACATGCAAGAAGCGGACTGAAAAGCAAAGACAGGGCAAGAACACGTCAAACATTTCCGTGTCTAACTTAAGATGGCCGCACTGGCATGCGCCCCGCGCTGTCGGCTGCCAGCTGCCTGAAAGAAAACGTTCGGATGGTCCCGGGCCGGCCGCAGGCCGCCAGGCACGTGAAAAAACGAACATGTGCCCGAGCAATCCCGCACCAGTGGGCGGAAATTGCAGTTCGTCCCCGAGAAGAACGAATGCGGCACTGGTATCTGGGGCCATACAGAGCCGTCCGGGACGTCTAAATCGATGACACTCAATATTAAATTGCTGTTTCCAGTCTGCCTCACCAGAGGGTCGAATGCATTCTCTTCGCATCCCGTTTTCTCCACGTTTCGCTCGTGTCTCCATTATACCGCCTGCACCCATGGCGTTCGTTGTGTTATATTTATCTCGACATTGAACCATTGCGTGCGACAGCTCACGCACCTTTCGGGCTTGAAGGAACGCCATGGGCACGTGATAACGTAGCCACGAGTGATACGTGGTGAAAACGGGATGCTAAGCGAGTGCATCCGACCCGCTGTTCAGGCAGACTGGAAACTTACTAGTGAAAATTTACCAGTGAAACAGACGTGCGCTACATCTTCCTTAACTGCAGCAAGCATATCGCTTTCAACGCTTGGTGACGTGGACCTCGGTCGAAGCGAGTCGAAGCCACACGTCGGAGAGTTCAGATTAAAGGTTCTGACGGCTGTACAAGCGTAATAGGGTAGTTTGCGGTCCTTGAATTTCATTCTTGACTACCATGCAACGAAGCTCTGCAAAAGTTCCACGCGCATATTTTTTGTACTCATAGATAATGTCAAGCGGAACATTATCTTGACGGTGGCATCGCCACAACGAATTAGGTTTGCCAATTTTATGCTCTCATCCTTGTCACCACAATCACAATGAAATGGTGGCAAGTTCTCCTTGTGCTATTCACTTGAGTCGGCATGAAATTTGAAGCGGGGCTCCTCAGTGTCTATCAATCCCGACATAAATGACTAGGAGCTTGAGAGGGTAACTGTAGACGTTGTTTCAACAAAACTTGCCTCGTAGCTGTGCATAAGCTCCACGTCTTGAAAATTCTTCCTGACTTCCCGGGCCACATCTCGCTGATACAAGATGTCTTGTTTGCGGTCCGGGTATGTCTTCACGGTGATAGTGTAGCCCTGGCCAAACTTTTGTTTAAGGTGTGCCAGCGAACCCAGGCATTGCAGCCTTCCGGTTCCAATAATGGCAATGCGATTGCATAGAAACTCCACATCTGCGAGGCTAGAGATGACAGAGTTCAGAGCCCATTATTCATTACAGCAAAGCAAGAATATTGCTTCGTAAATATACAGAAAAGTCACAGTTTCACCGCAAGGGCGAATCAGTGAATGAAATATCAGCAAATTAGACTGTCATAGGAAAACAGCCTAACCACTCGCATCGTTACTAAGCATGGGTGCTACAGTAGACGAGGTGACCTTCGTGTGGTCTGTGGCTTCGATGCCCTGTGCGTCTAAGTAGGGCGTGTTTCCGCCACCTTGCGGGTGGTAGCAAATAAGCCTCTGCCACGGCTTAATCCTCTTCGCAGTGTGTTGTGAGGGCAGCTCCGTACTGGCAATTACTCCATGTGTGCAGTTCTATTTGTGCCCTTCGTTATGTCTACTTAGCGAGTTTTGAACTGATTGTCTTCAGTCCGCCAACACGAAATGCTTCCCTGAAGCTTCGACAGCAAGTGTGGTGTCTCGTATTTGTTTTTCACATCGTAGGTAAAACGCATTTTTGTGCTTCATTTCAGTTTACATTAAATAAGTTTGTACACGGCCTTAAAAAGAAAAGAAGAGAAAGGGCTAGTGGCCTATTGTTAAAAACACTCGCTATATTGAACCACAGAGACCCGCATGCAAAGCTTAGCCACAGAAAAAAATTGATCTTTATTTATTACTAAAGCAAAAGGCATAACGTCATCAAACATGAAACTTCAACAGCGTCCCGCGTTGGCAGCGTCAAGACAATTCCTCCAAAAATATCACCACGCGATGACGTCACACTTTATGGGTCCATTCCGTTATAGGGTTTATTCTAGGAAACTCTATGCATTCCCGTCTAAGTTCCGCGGGGAGCATAATGTCCGAGATCAACGACATTTTTTGTCCCTATGATTTAACTGGGCCTCGAATGGTGTCGTCATTGCATGACATCTTCACTTGGGCAAAGGTGGGCCAATCACGGAGGCAGTGTTCAACCAGGTGGCTCCCATCTTGGAGGCAGTGCATAACTGCTTTTAGTGCGCTAATTACTCGGCGGGTGGTCGTACTGGCTTAATTGATTGACTGAGAAGAAAAATATTGCTTCTGCTTTTCAGTAATCTCAGGTTAATGCATACAGCACCAAGTGCATTATTTCTTTTCTGTGCGCAAGCTGTGGATGGGCCCGGTTTTTCTCAACATCGCCAGCTGCAACAAGTAAATTTTAGCATATTTAAAATGTTTTCTGTGACATATTCGCGTGCATTTTGCTGACATCATTTCTGTGAACAAAACGACGTCAAAAAATTCGCTGAACGCTGGCGCAAAGTGCTTCAGTTTTCAAAAATGTTGACTAGCGTTGGTTACTCTACTGGATTTCGCCACGTATGGGTTAGCGTGAGTCTCTTACCTGTGAGAGGAGAGCACGATGGAAATCTTTGTGCGCCTCTGCAGGGAGCTGATGTAGTTGACGATTCGCTTCCGCGAAAGGATTCCTATTCCGGAGTAAGGCTCGTCCAGCAGGAGCATCCTCGGCATGCCGATGAGCGACACGCACAGGCTCAGCTTGCGCCGGTTCCCTGCGCTGCACATGCACGTGGCAGTAACGTATGTAGATATCTGCGCACTTTCATAAGCAGGCTCACTGCTATTCTAAAGACATATTCTTCGGCAGTCGGGAAGTTGCAAGTCAAGCCGCTCTGCCTATGTTGTTTCTTAAGCAAACAATAAAGTAACGAGGTGCTTCTGGCCAAATCATTGGGCAAGAAAAACAAGAGATTATAGTCTACAGTTTGACGAAAATTTAAGAGGTCGGCTACATTTAAAGAAACAGCTTGAAGGAGGCTTGAGCTTCGCCTTCAAAAGAGCAACGCGATAGGAAAACTGGATTCCCCTGACCATTGCCTTCTCAAACGCTGTGCTAGCAGTGTGGCAGTTTGGGCTAGTTGGTATGACATATGACATGAAGATAACTTTAGCGCGAGAACAGAACGACAAAAAAGAGACTGGAAGGACAGAAAGGACACGAGCGCTCGTGTCCTTCGTGTCCTTCTTGTCTCTTTGTCGTCGTTCTGTTCTCGCACTATAGCTATCGTCGTGCTGTGCTAGCATCGGTTCTGAGCTCATGCCAGAACCATGCTGTAAGAAAATGAATGACTATGCGTGTAACGTTGGCCGTTTCAAAGTATCCTTGAAGGTATACAGCCAGTTCAGTTGTTGGGCCTCTTGAAAACATAGAAGGGCCCACTATGCTTCCGTAAGGTGACACGCGAACCCTCGCAGCTGTATATTCGCTTCGTATCTACGCACTTGGCTGTTCGCGTTTCACTTTATGCCAGTAGTAGATTCATTGGTGACATACTGCGCCATATTTAGTGGCTTTAAATATTGGAATAATTCAATTTTCAGATATCACTGCAGCTTACACAAAGGAATTACGAATTTCCCCTGAATAGTTGGCAAGCTGTATCATTCATTAAAAAACAGGATTGCCCAAATTTGTTCCAACACATCATGTCTTGCTACCAGCTGCAAATAGGCACTTTGATCACAGCCCTAATTTAGCCGGCATACTGACCTACTTTTTCCCAAATATAGGTCATGCACATTAACTTGGCTGAAAGTAAGCTTCGCTTCTCCCTAATTCACAAAACAGAGTGGCAGAAGTGTAAATTACAACTGAAGATGTATGCGCAGTAAAAATTAAGTTCAGGTAAAGGGCCAGTGGCAGAGAAATGAACGAGATATTTAGTGTTGTGACGGGAACATAGAAAAAAGCGTTCAGAAGAAACCTGCAGGAAGGAAATAGGCAGTGTCATGATTGGCTGAACAGTATGATCTTACGTTTACGCCAATTTTTTTTTACCGCAACAGCGCTAAACAGATTGTTTCACTGAAATCCAGGTGTCTGCATCAGAGTCGGCGGTGCCTTTGTTGACTGTGTGGTGAAAATTGGCATTTTACGACCGTAAGAATTCAAGATACAGGCAAATAACTAATATACAATCTTCGGTCTGAGTGAACATCAAAACCGGGCCTGCTGCGTAACAGGCAGATGTTCTACCTTTGCAGGGCTAACGTCATTTTCATAAGAAAACGCTATAAGAATTTATTGAGAGGAGTCTCCTTAACGCATGTAATATATTGCATGTGAAAATTGTAGAATAACTTCAAGGTGTCTAAATATTTGACTTGCGCAGTGAGCGAGTGGTTTACACCAGCGAACCCAGCACAGAGTGTGCAGCTCGGCAGGTGCACTCGCCACCTCATACAAACGCGTAGCGGCACTTTAATTAAAAAAAATGAAGGATTAGGTTTTGTGGAAATTTCGCAGCGGCATTTGCAGTTGCGTTTACCTTCAAACAGAATATGTTACGAGCACAGATGTTCCTTTCCTTCCGGTGCAACTGAATGCGATCAGCAATAAGCCCAGTTACGCTATCGCATTCTACTCTTGATGTTGAAGCTCAAGTGACGCCTAAGTTTTTCTTCCTTTCTAAGAGCGTGAGTACTCGACCACGTGACGTAAGTATAAGACAATCGAGTGCCGTATTTTGCGAAAATTGTGCCTACCTATACGTGCCGACTAGATGATCTCCGATGTCATTCAGATTGAAAATCTCCAGCAACGCCTCCACGTATTCTCCGGTGATCGGAATCCCACGCAACCGGATGTACAGCATCAATGTCTCGATGCCCGTCAGAGCATCCAGCAGGGCGTTGCTTTGCGGGCAGTAGCCGAGGTGGCTATGAAACTGTTGGCACGAGAAATAGCGTGAGTGACTTTGACGCACATACCCACATTTTTGAACGTACATCTGCATAGCGCTGTTCAACGATAGTTGCAAAGTATGTGCCCAGAATAATAAATTACTGCAAGTGTGCTGTGCCTTAGTGCAAAGAAAACAAAAAAACGCATGAACTGGCGTAGGCTATTCTCGAGTAATATTTTTACTAGAATAAAGGTGTATATGAAAAACTTGATAAAAGTGAAGGAAGGAAGTTTGGAGAGCTTGTTTTTGTTAACACGAAAATATGTAATCCCTAGGTCCCTCTACTGGCGTGTTTCTGTCATGAAGTTGATGTTATAAAAATAATGTACTGACACATTTTAAAAAAGAAATGACAGCATATCCACGGGATGAAAGATGGAGAGTGGGGCGAGGCTGGGTCTGCACGCCGCTGCCGCGTCGCTTGGGCCTCCCGTTGTCGTACGCTGGGATCTTGTCGGCACTGCCTCACAGCTGCACGGCACGCTTCTGCCTCGCGTGCTCGCACATCGGGGTTCTGTCTTCGAGCGCGAGCCGCCGCCGCCTTACGCGCACGCCGCTCTGCAACCTTGCCCATCCGCCGACCTTCTCAACACGCAGTGTGCCAAAACGGCTTTTGCTTTGCTACACCACGCCCCCTAGCGTACGGCACCGCCGACAAACACGCAATCGCTAGCGTCTTCATGTAAACTCATTGCTATTTTCTCGCGCGCTCGCACATAGGGCGCAAGGCGCGCTCGCACATCGCGCATTGCGCGTATGATACTTTTTTTCGGCAAACCATGAATCATCCACTGGCCGCGTCCATCCGTCGTTGGAGTTGACTCCGTCGTTGGAGCAGGAGTTGACTCGGCGAAGGAGAGCTTTATTTAGCGCAAGGGCTGACTGAACGCAAGCCTGCGATCACAGCAAGTCTTCTTCCTTTTCTATACTCGAGCTCCATGCCCACTGCCCTCGTTACACAATTCATACGCGAGGAGGTCGCCCGGCAGCTATCTATAATCACACGAACTACCGAGCCGATGGCACCCTTGTCACCTTCGCTTCGCCAGGTCATTCAATCGCAACTTGCTGAAGCATTGCCGCCAGCTCAGGCTCCGCCAACTGTTACCGCACCACTAACGTATGCAGCCGCAGTTGCTCGGCCACGTGCGCCAGCGTCTCCGGCCATCTACGAAGCTACTCGCCGCGTTTATTCGTCGACGCCACCTTCCCGCTCGCTGACCGTCCCGTCTCCGGCTATATATGAAACAGGTAAGAACGTTTATATGACGCCGCCGCCTGCACGACCATTTACGGTACCTTATTCAGCGAACAGTGCCCCTATCGTCAGCCAATGGCGCACTCCGGATAATCGGCCGATTTGTTTTTCATGCGGCATCCCAAGCCACGTAGCTCGTCACTGCCGTCGTCGCAGCTTCCCTTCTCCCGACATTGCAGGGGCCTCACATTACATGCCCACCATGCCCACTCAGCCGCGATATCCCGTTCCTGCCGATCCATCTCTAGACGTACGTCCCGGTCGCCGACCATCCGGCGCAAGCCGTTCACCTTCTCCTCGTCGTCGATCTATTTCTCCGATGTTACGTTGCAACAGCCCACCGCGAGGGGAAAACTGACGGGCGCCGTTCCGGAGGCAAGAACTGCGTTGGCAGCGAAAATTTCAAGACCTAACTGCTGTCCCCCGAATGAAATCGAAATCTATATTGATGGCATTAAGGTGCACGGACTTGTTGACACTGGAGCTGCCGTATCTGTAATTAGCGAGAAACTGTGCCGAAACTTGAAGACAGTGACCACACAACTTACCGACCTATCTTTGCAGACAGCTACGTCCCATCATATTCAGCCTTCAGCTTTGTGCACTGCACGAGTCGTCATTCAAGGTGCGATGTACGTCGTCACATTTGTAGATTTATTCCATTCTTCGCCAGACATTATCCTTGGGTGGGACTTTCTTTCGTCAAATTCTGCTTTGGTCGACTGTGCTCGTTCTGAACTCGCGTTATCTGTGCCGTGCTATGACCCCGACGATGGTGCTTCGTGTAGAGTGTTTGCTGCTTCTGACGTTGACATTGCGCCTTTCTCAGCTCTTGTTGTCTCGGTGTCGTGTGCCTTCCCTCCGAAATCGCCTGTGTTGTTTATGCCATCGGTCCCATCTGCGTGCCGTCGAAATATCATGCTTCCGTTTGCCGTCGTCATTTTTCGCAATGGTCATGCTGCCATTTATGTGTGCAATCCCTCGGACAGCCCATCATCCCTACTATGTGGAGAATGCCTGGGAAGCTACGAACCTTACGAGTGCATTCTTCCGGCTACTATACCCGATTCTACGGTTTCGCTCCGAATTTGTACTGTAACTCCTACCAACGCGCCTAATGATGCTCTGGACGTATTCTCGGATGCCATCGACACTGAGCTCGCACCAACTCAGCGCGAAGAGATTATAAATCTTCTTCTCCGCTTTCGTTCTTCATTCGATCGTGACCAGTCAGGCTTAAGCCGAACCTCTGCGGTCGTTCACCGTATTGACACCGGTCAACAAGCCCCGCTAAGGCAGCGTCCGTACCGTGTGTCATCTGCTGAACGCCGCGTCAGCGACGAACAAGTGGACGACATGTTGAAACGTGGCATCATCGAGTTCTCCAACAGTCCCTGGGCTTCACCGGTTGTTCTCGTCAAGAAAAAAGACGGATCCATCCGGTTCTGCATTGACTACCGCCGACTCAACAAGATAACGCGCAAAGACGTATACCCTCTGCCGCGCATCGATGATGCTTTGGACTGCCTACAAGGAGCGGAGTTCTTTTCTTCGTTAGATTTACGCTCCGGCTACTGGCAGGTGCCAATGGCAGAGGGTGACGGCCCGAAGACAGCCTTTGTAACACCGGATAGACTATATAAATTCACCGTTATGCCCTTTCACCTCTGGAATGCGCCTGCCACTTTCGAAAGGATGATGGATACCGTCTTGCGAGGTCTGAAATAAAAAACGTGCCTCTGTTATTTGGATGACATTGTGGTATTTTCAAGCGACTTTGCGACCCACCTCAGCCGCCTCGAGCAAGTTCTTACGTGCCTTTCCACGGCGAGACTTCAACTTAACTTGAAAAAATGCCACTTTGGCACTCGCAAGCTTGTAATTCTCGGCCATGTGGTTTCTAAGGACGGCATTCTCCCGGACCCTACGAAACTTAATGCAGTCGCGGCGTTCCCAAAGCCAACCACCATCAAAGAGCTTCGAAGCTTCATCGGCCTATGTTCTTACTTCCGGCGCTACGTCCTCAATTTCGCCTCCATTATCGCCCCCTTGACCAATCTTCTTGCCGGAAGTTCTGATTTGTCAGCGTGGTCGCAGGCGTGTGATGATGCATTTCAGGAACTCCGACGGCTCCTCACCACGCCTCCCATACTCCGACATTTCGATCCGTCTGCTCCAACGGAGCTTCATACGGACGCTAGTGGTGTCGGGCTAGGGGCCATACTGGCCCAACGCAAGGAGGGCTTTGACGAGTACGTCGTTGCCTATGCCAGCCGCACCCTCAGTAAAGCCGAGAAGAATTATAGTGTAACTGAAAAGGAGTGCCTCGCCATTATTTGGGCAATCGGAAAATTTCGGCCTTATTTATATGGACGTCCGTTTGATATTGTAACAGACCACCATGCGCTTTGCTGGTTATCTTCACTAAAAGATCCTAATGGTCGGCTCGCTCGTTGGGCATTGCGGTTACAGGAGTTCGATATCCGTGTTATCTACCGTTCTGGCCGGAAGCATTCTGACGCCGACGCCCTGTCACGTTCGCCATTGACTTCAGAGCCTGTCGGCTCGCCTATCTCCACTAGTGCTGCCTTGGCCATCAGCATTTCGGACATGCCTTCCGAGCAACGCAAAGAAGCTTGGATTTCTTCTCTTTTGGACTTTCTCTCAAACCGGACGCCCGCTCCAGTTTCCAGGACGCTTCGCAGTCAAGCAGGACACTTCGCTATTTGAGATAAGCTGCTTTGCCGCCGAAACTACAGATCGATTGGCCGTAAGTGGTTGCTCGTCATCCCCCGACATCTGCGCTTTGACATCTGTGCCACGTTCCACGATGATCCGCAATGTGGCCACGCTGGTGTGTTAAAAACATACACTCGCTTGCAGCTGTGGTACTACTGGCGCGGTATGTACCGTTTCGTTCGCCGTTATGTAAGGTCTTGCCTTACGTGCCAGCGACGCAAAATGCCCACTCAACATGCCACAGGTCCCTTGCAAGCGTTGCCATGTCCAGCACGAGCTTTCGATCGTGTCGGAATCGACCTTTATGGTCCGCTTCCCTATACTTCGAGTAGCAACCGCTGGGTCATTGTCGCTATCGACCACCTAACGCGGTACGCTGAAACAGCTGCGTTACCTTCTGCTACCACAAAAGACGTTGCGTGTTTTATACTGCAAAACCTGGTTTTAAGGCATGGAGCACCTCGGGAGTTACTAAGCGACCGGGGCCGCGTTTTTCTCTCCGATGCCATCAAAGCGTTGTTGAGCGAGTGTCGCATCATACACCGCACTACCACAGCCTATCACCCGCAAACTAATGGGATGACAGAGCGTTTTAATTGTACACTTGTGGATATGCTGGCCAAGTACGCTTCATCCGACCAGTCAAATTGGGATAGCATACTCCCTCTTGTGACATATGCTTACAACACTGCAACGCAAAGCACCACTGGATTTTCGCCTTTCTTCCTTCTTTATGAACGCGAGCCATCATCAACAATGGATACCATTCTTCCTTATCGACCGGACCCCTCAGAGATGACTACCGTTTCTCGAGCAGCAGCACACGCTGAAGAATGTCGGAAGCTTGCTCGTGCGTTCACGTCACATGACCAGACGCGCAAAAACATCGCCACGACGCGTCAACCACGCATATGAGCTTTGCTCCGAACTCACTGGTGTGGTTATGGATTCCTTCTACTCCTCCAGGACTCTCCCACAAGCTTTCGTCCAGGTACCATGGCCCTTATCGAGTTGTACGCCAAACATCCCCTGTCGACTACCTTGTCGAGCCGCTGGATGCATCTCCGGACAAGCGCCGTCGGGGAAAAGAAATCGTACACATCTCTCGACTCAAGCCGTACCATGACCCTTCTGTGTACACCTGTCCTTAGGTCGCCAGGATGGCTCCCTCATCGGCCGGGGGTGATTGTAACGAGGGCAGTGGGCATGGAGCTCGAGTATAGAAAAGGAAAAAGACTTGCTGTGATCGCAGGCTTGCGTTCAGTTAGCCTTTGCGCTAAATAAAGCTCTCCTTCGCCGAGTCAACTCCTGCTTGTTCAACAACCCGTTTCAGAGGTTACGCCCAGCGAGTATAACGTAGCAACCCTTTCTTGTCAGATAGTGTTCAATGTACATGCCAATGGCTGCTAAGGGGAAATGAGAGAGAGGAGAATTTGGCTTTTAGTTAACGCGCACACTGCGAATTTTTTATTGTTCAAGAACGCACAAAAGAAATCTCCCACCGGCACCACCTTGGAGGTCAAAATGTAAGACTGGTTCCACACTACTACTACTACGATTACGAGGGACGAACGGGCGTCGCTATAAGGAACTTCGCCCCTGAAAACGCACTACTTAACCATACGGTATAGTGGTACGTGTGTTGCGGCGGGGTCACCTTTCCAATGAGCGTTTGCTCTACGCCGCTTTCAAAGATTTCATACTCCGCGCTGTGGGATGTTGCAATAGTTCCACTTTTTACCATATTTTACGGGACAAATACAAAGTACTGCTTGGTTAAGTTTCCTTTTGGTGGGGCATTTCCATGCCTACTTGAACTCATTGTTAAACTTACCGAGTGTTTCTACTATCAGGACTGTGACAGGAGCGTCTCAGGAACGCAGAATCACTGCGACTACGACTTGGTCAAAAATTGCCTGAGTTCACCTTTGACGCGACTGAACGCTACATTGTGCAGCTATGTGCAGCCAGATGCCCAGCGTCATCAACCTACCTCGTACACATTACGCACGACGGACACGCCACCAATGTATGCATCACCCTCCTGTGGCAGGATTTCGCCCGTCAGTATCTTGAAGGTGGTGGTCTTTCCAGCACCATTGACTCCGAGAAGGCCGAAGCACTCGCCCGAGCGCACGCTGAAGCTCAGGCCCTGCATCAGCGCAGATGACCTTCGAAATTGGTTTCATGCAGCAGTCCTTGTGAACATTCAATGCATATTCATACTATTTGTTCCCTTATCCAATGTGTAGCACCCTGACCTTGCAATTGCAGCGAGTAAGAGTGTTCTCATGAAAAAAATTTCTCACCTCACGTGCACGTTGCCTGACACAAGTATGAGGCTGTGAATGCAACGAAATTTTTTATTACAGTTGACTTGTTCCTTGTTCATGGAACCTTGCTCAAGGAAAAGCCTTGTTCTTTTTACGTCCACCCATTCTAAGCTAGTCAAGTGAAGCATCGCTTTTTCCTGTCTAAAGGCAATTCTAACTGACTCTTGTCACCGCCAGATAGAGTGCAGTTTCTCGCTCTAAGTTCACCGCCTTCAACAAGCAGGCTTTTCTAATCCCCTGCTTACTTCTATTGCCGAGGCTCTCTTAACGTCACTAAGATTGCCTGATAACACACAAAGAAACAGCTAACTCAACAAGCCTCATTCTAGTAAGGCTGTTATTCCCTACGTACACGAATTTTCCCATAGGCTAAAGAAGGTCGCTGGAAAAGGTGCCGGTTCCGGTGCGTGACACCACTGATCGTCTGCGCAGCGCATCGAATTGCGCACGGCAGCGGCGGAGCATCATCGCGCGTGCGCAGACCAGTTTCACGCGAATTTGGCTCAGCGAGGCCATTGTACCTAACGCTAGAAAATAGTGTAAGTGTTGCGTTCTGCGCACGCGACAAGCTCGCTGGCCTATGTCACAGGGTCAACAGTGAAGGACCTAAGAAAAAAGCAGGCACTAAGAAACACGCTATGTGCCATGTTGAATGTGTTTTAGCGATTTTCTACAAGATAGTATTTACTTGTGGACATTGGCCAAACAGCGCGATGCATGAATGATCGGTTCAGGGAGCACGCTAACTTTCTAAAAGGTTTCCTTCTCAGCCACTTGGCAGACCATTGTAATAGGTCTTGTTGTCAGCCAATTCTTGACAAGTGTTTGATCACGGGGGATATAAAATCGGCGCGAGCACGAGATTAGTGAAGCCTTCTATATTCAACAACTTGGTGCTTCTTGTGTTAGCGTACCCTCAATTTTTCTTAACTGCTATGAAGTTAGTTATCTGGGGTCCACTTATATGACCGGTTGTTGATAAGGTAGGCCGTATGGTGCATGTATGCAATTCTGCTTATGGTGCGTGGTTGTGTGCAGGTTCTGTTTTCTATATATTGCAGTTAGTTTGCAGTAAACTTTGATTGTTTGTTCAGGGCTCTGTTCTCGTCTCTTCTTTCCCTTCTTGTCGTTTGCGCTGTTAAGCACTTTCTTCGTCTACCACGCCTTCATGAACTTAGCCAAGATGTATATATTTGCATTTTTTCTATTACTGCAATTTCTATGAATGTCTGAGTAATGAATACTAACTACACAAAAGGTATGTTTTGCGGAAATAATATTATGAGACCTCTAAAGCTGCTAAACATTACAAGAAAAATTACAAATTTCGCAGAATCGTCAATTTCGTCTATATTGAGACGTGATTTTCATTGTCGAGTGTTTCAAATAAATATGACCTTCAAACCTAAAAAGAAAGAGAGAAGAACTGTTTTTTTGCTTTCAATTTATGTCTAAAGGTAATTTTTAGTTGAGCCACCACATGGCGTAAATTGCATCCTAATATGGACAAAAATTACGATTTTGTAGAATTTATGAATTTTTTCTCATAAAGTTTACCAACTTGAGAGGTTTCAAATATTTTATTCCCAAAATATACTTTGCGAGGAGTAAGTATTCACTACTCAGATATTCATACAAACTGCAGTACTCCAATAAAAAAAATTGCAAACATAACACATTTTGGATAAATTCGTGGCAGGACGTGAAGTAAACAAAAGGTAAAACATCCAATGGGCAGCGAACACGGAGATTTCAAGGCCCAATGGCTTGACACCACGAAACAGTAGTATCTCCAATGAGAACGAGACAAGTGGGCCAGAGCTGAAGCAGGAGCCTGGGGAGACTAGAGCAAGGGGAATTCGAGGCAGGCAGTGCAAGCGGAAGGTCGTCACCGGACCGGGCGCTGAAGATGGGCCGTTGGGTTCCGGACCCGAGCCTACAGGACTTCCACCGGCCGGGGCCTCCTGCTGTCGGGTTCCCGCTCCAAAGGACCGTGGCCATCCGGTCCTGAACTCCTTTCCAGGGCCTGCGGACTTTGGTTCCGGCAGGCGAGCTACAGCCGTCGGGCTCCGGGCCCGAGCTGTGCGCCCAGCTGCTTGACTAGGTCGACCCTAGTTCCCGGACGCGTCGCCACCAGCCTGCGTTCTCCCGTCTCCGACGTGTCCACGCTCCTCAAGCCGAAACCATCACGATTTGGTAGGGCTTTTCGACGTGTCGCCAGCAGCCAGCGTTCCCTCGTCCTCGTCCAGCCCACGCATTGACGCAGGAGTCACGGCGTTCCGGTTTCTCATCACCGCCGAAAACCAACTTGTGGGTGAGACTGCACCGATACTCTTGCGCTACTCCCATCACTCAGCCCCTTTCGAACGTTAGGTTTAGTTACTGACTTTGAACGTTCTTGTTGGGTGTTTACAGATGTGTTTCGTCATGTCCAGTCAACTGTTTATTAAGTGTTTTGTTTTGTGAGGAATCTTTGCCTTTTTACTTTTCAATTAAACCTTTTGTGTGTTTCTTGGAAACCGAACGGCTTTGTCCTTATTAACAAAACTCTCTGAGGCTCAGCCCGGGAGAAAAACAAATCAGCAACGAGAACCCCGCATCACAAACTGGCGTCCGCAGCGACAGGACAAAGTCGTTTGTTTTTCCAGTAGATTTTTTGACGCGGTTAACACGATGACGAACACGTGGGAGTTAATTGAGTTGGCGGATAAAATGGGACTGACGGGAGCGGAGTTTAGAGTATGGTACGAGGAGCGGATGGAGAGGGAGCGTGAGCAACGGGCTGCAGAACGAAAGGCGGCGAAGGAAAAGCTTGAATTGGTGCTTAGAGCTAAGAAGGAGGAGCTAGAGCGCGTAACGCGTGAAAATAAAGTGTTGCTAGAGCGTCAGACACGCATACTGAAGCAGCAGCTCCAATTAGAGAGGGTGGACTTCGAGCGGCGACTCGAGCTTGCGATGGCGAAAAGGGGGCAGCTGGCGATGCAGAAGGTCGAGCAAGCGGTGAATGTTTGCTCCGATAGCAGCGTTTGCTGGAGGGAAGTCGATTCCTGCAAGGTTGGCCTCGAGCCTCGCGACAGCCTTACTTCGGAGCGAGAAGCTCAGATAGAGGAAGGCAGAGAGGTGGACAGCCAAGAAGGCAGGAGTCATGAGGAGTTTGTTGAAGCGACGGAAAGCTTCTCTGGCTGGGAACATATTACTTCCGTTAGCTGCTTGGGGACCTCTGAGAGGCCAAGCACCTATGAAGAAGAGCGCCTGGATATGGGCGACCTAGAAGCTGTGGAAAATGTTGTGGAGCAAAGCTTCGATAGCAGGGAACGAAGAAGCTCCATTCAGAATGAGGTGTGTATCAGAACGTCTCAGAGGCCGAGCACATTTCGGGAAGGGGTAGGGCTACCTCTCAATAGCTCCATGGAAGGAGCGCTAGAACGTCATTGGGAAGATGGCAGCGAATGCCATGAAGGCTCTGATATAGTGGCCACTGATTGTTTTGTACCGACAGAGGTAGCAGCAGGCACCACGTCAATGGTCCTAGACCATACATATATCTCACTCAGAGAGAGAGGGGATTCTAGTTCACAGGATAGCGTAACTGCTATTTGTCCGAGAAAACACGATGGGAGTGCTGAAGCACTCTTAAAAATAAACAGTATCGAATCGGAGGTGGGCTCGATAGTAGGTATGGAGAATGCCAGACAGGGTCTTGAACCTGAGAACGTGATTGGTTTTGAACCTATAATTAAGTCCACTCAAGATGAGCTGTATAATGACCGAGCACAACGGCATCCCTTCTCAAGAATCCAGGAACCTCACACGCTTGTCGGAGCGTTTGGGCTTGCTGAGGGCACCCCGAGCTTGTGTTCATTAGATGGTGAATTAAAAGAAAGTATTTGTGTGAGAGATTGTGGCATTTGGACATTCGTGTCTCAGTGCGTTTCGTGTCGACGCCGACGGCTCGAGACCGCGCCCTGTTCCTCTGTGACCGGTAAGCGTTCATGTGGCCGGCGGGGGCGCAGACACGCGTTTCAGCGAAAGTGCATAAAAGCATGTTTGCCACAGTTACTTTCGAAACGTGCGAGAAGGGCAGTGCGTCTGGTTTGGGACGCGATAACCTGAGTGTAGGGTTAGAAAACCGGTAGCTCTTTCTGGACTTCGACTTTTAGATGCGGACACAAGTAGCTTTGTCCATAGTCGATTTTTGTAGTAAAAAGGTTTATTCCGGGTTTCAGAACTTTTAAATGCAATTGGGTGAATCTAAAGTTTAAGTGTGGACATTTGGACGATGTAGCGAACTGTAGCCCGGTGATGTGTTGAACTGCGTGGTGCAAATATGTGGTTTAATTGTGACGTAGTGCAGAACGCGCACTCATCGGCAGTTTTTTTTTTCTAAAAAAAAAAAACTTGAATAAAAGGGGGGCGTATGTGATGTGTGGTGCGCGTTCAAAGTGCGCGCCTTCGAAAAGTGCGCGTCACGGAAAAAAAAAACAAAAGGAGAAATACCAGAGTGCACGTGCGGTGCTGCTTAAACAAGAATGACGACGTTAAAGAGCGTCAAGCACGAGGATGCGTGGCAGGACGTGAAGTAAACAAAAGGTAAAACATCCAATGGGCAGCGAACACGGAGATTTCAAGGCCCAATGGCTTGACACCACGAAACAGTAGTATCTCCAATGAGAACGAGACAAGTGGGCCAGAGCTGAAGCAGGAGCCTGGGGAGACTAGAGCAAGGGGAATTCGAGGCAGGCAGTGCAAGCGGAAGGTCGTCACCGGACCGGGCGCTGAAGATGGGCCGTTGGGTTCCGGACCCGAGCCTACAGGACTTCCACCG